ATAAAAATTTTTCCGACTTATGTTTCGCGGAAGTGGAATCGTCGAATGTGGAAACGTGGAGTTTATACATCGTCAAGAAAAACAAAAAAACTAAACAAAATATACATATATATATATATATGTACATATATATACATGTATATATATATATATATATATATGTATATATCCGAGAGAAGTTTTATCTCTCCCGACTTTTTCATTTAAATTCCTGTTTTACCCAAATCACTGTAAGCCTTGATATACCTTCGTTCTCATCCTGGACCCCCCGTGATATCAGCTCTCCTTCTCCCCATGAGAGATAGATTTATGATCAAGAAAATATAGGATCTTTCCGTCTGATCTTTCCGTCCTTCCGATGCTCCTTCTCTTCGTCGTGTTTGCCACCACGGTACACAATTCCCTATTACATAAACGAGTCGCATGTTCTTTCCTTGAAACATAACCGTAGAAACCAAAAAAAAAACACTCGTGGCTATCCCACCGTGATTAACACAGGTGTACACACAAGCGCATAGATATAATCGACCACGCTGACAGAGAGAAGTCTCTCTTCTTTTCTCTTCTCTTTCTCGCGCGCGCGAGAAGAGAACTATCTCTGCCGCTTTCTCTTCGAAAAAGATATCGTTTTGAGATACATCAAACGCAATCGCAATAGATATCTATCCGACCGGGTCTGGATCATCTGGGAAATTAAGAAGCATGATTCAAGCATTCGCGTTATCGTAATTCTTCGATCGGTCGAGAATTGATGTCGACCGATCGATTACGATCGGTTTATCCCACGCGAACGCGGAAATCTGGAAACTATTTGTTAGATTTCTCGTTAAGTTACTTTGCTCTATAAATTTTATAAAAAAAAGAACTTTTACAATTAATATCAACATTACAAGTTCTGTTAATAGAGAGGGAGAGAGAGAGAGAGAGAGAGAGAAAGCATCATTTATTGAGCGCTCCGGGATAAGATCCTCTTAAGCGCAAAATACAAATAAATTAGTTATTCATGTAACAAAATAATAAATATATTTACAACGGAAATATAAAATATATACAAAAAGAATAAAAATAAAAAGAAAAATATCAAATTCAAAACAAATAAAAAGAAGAGATAGTTATAATAACAATAACAGTAGTACAAAAAAGAGAGAGAGGGGGGAGGAGAGACAACTCGAAAAGAATTTACTTGCAAAAGCGATTTTTATGATCTTATTGACTACGCGTCATTGAGACGCGACGTCGTCGACGTGCAAGGAGAAGAGTGAGTCAACGGAGTTATCTTTCGTCTTTCTCTCGTCGTGTGCCAAGGAGCCGGCAAGCAGCTGTGGAATGTCTTCATTAAAATACTCGGGTTCATCATTTATGCTGAGCAAAAACGCAACGAAGTAAGCTCCAAACAGATCCAAATTTCGCACTCTACCCTCTCTCTCTCTCTCTCTCTCTTTCTTTCTTTCTCTCTTTCTCGTAAGCGAGTTAAAAATTTGGAAAAAGTAAGTGTATTTTTTTTCACGTCAATTTTCTATTGGAAATTCAGCTCGACAACGTGTCGTCGATGATCGTTATTGCCAACATTGTCTTTCTCTTAACGTAGATATTAGGTCTACCGGAAAGTTCTGTCCGTTTTTGGAATAAAACAAAATACAAATTTTTCTTACCGTCAATAAACTTTATTAAATAATATAAATTGCCATTATTATATTAATGATTTCTTGCCAGCGTGAAGGCAATTTGTATATCCCATTTTTGAAAAATTAAGAAAAATTTGTATTTTGTTTTATTCCAAAAACGGAAACAGAACTTTCCGGTAGACCTAATATATTTTGCGATACGTTACAAAATCCTTTTTTAAAGAATCTTATCGTACAAACCAAGACCTCTTTTTGTTTTCCAATCCTATTTGATCACATTCGGTGTGTCATTTTTGGCATTTATTAAAATCCTCTTGCGAGAAAGTAAATGTGCACCGAAAAAATTATATTCTCGTAAGTAGAAGATTTTATACTTAAAAAATCTTCTTAAAGATTTTAGATGATATTCTTTTGAAATTAAGAATATATTCTTTATTTAAGAATATATTCTTAATTTAAGAATATAGTCTTTTTCGATAG